TTGGCTACTAAGGTTCTTTCTCTAAGATCTTCTTCTCATGGGTTCTCCTACGTTTGGTGACAGGGGAATTCCTGGGGATATCTTGTGTGGTAGAATCAATTGTGGTAGGATTTCTAAATGCTTCCTAAGTCCTTATATATATATATATATATATATATATATATATATATATATATATATATATATATATATATATATATATATATATATTTAGGAGTCCTAACTAGGGTCTGAATGGTACGGATCCATTTATCCTATTCCTTATAGGATTAAGGATTTGGCTTTAAGGATAAGGGTCCTTGTTTCATGGTGGGCCACCCTTAATTAATTAAAGGGGATCCAAACTCAACTAAATCCTTTCTACTTATTATTAATGGTAATTCATTAAGTAATTAGCCCGGGTTTGAGGCCGTAACACGGGGTGTTACATCGACTATCTGCCGCAGCTCCTGCACGGCAGCGAATAGGCCGGCCATTTTTGGCTTATTCTGGCCAGGTTGCGCGGACGACTCTCCAATGCTTTCTGCGGATTCTCGCCTTTGTCGGGTGATAAGTGCGTTTTTGTCTATATTTTTACACTTCTTGAACCCATTTTATTTGTGAATTGCTTAAAAACTTGTGTGAATTGTGACTAAGTTATGTTGGTTTTATTTCAAGGTGCAATCATTCACAACAAGTGAGAAATTCAATGATTTTTGGAAAGATCCTAACAATTCTTGGACCAAGAGATCAATCAAAGAGTTTGGAATGCATTTAGGAATTTCAAGAGTACCGTACTGCCTCCCGTACACCCATCCATCAGCCCATCCAAGATCTGAAAAAAAGAAGCAGGTGGCGTACGCCCTGCCGTACGCCCGTACGCATGCCAGTACGACCATTCCAGTGTTCACTGGAAATGCACCCAAAATGATACTGCCTGGCGTACGCCCATCCCTGAGGGCATCCCACTATGCTCTGCTCTATTTAGGCGGGTTTTTGGGTCATTTCAACTCGGTTTTGGCCCATGGTTGTGCCCTAGCTTTTATCTTTCACTTCCTTTCATATTGTAGTGTTAGATTAGGTTTAGATTTAGGTTTCTTAACATATTTCAAGCTTGTAATCAAGGATTCAACACTTGGATTCCAAGATTTACCATCTATTTCTTAGTGAAGTTTTCTTCTCCCTTTTATCTCTTTATCTTGCAATGTTTATGCTTTACATTTATGTTTTTGTGTTCTTTATGCTATTGAATCGTGAGTAGTTAGTTTATGGACTTGAGTTAGGGTTGTATTTCTATCTTGATGCTTAGTTTGTGATTATTGCAGAAAGGGGAAGAACACTACCTAGGGTTCATGTGTTTATGAAGGTTTTGTATTTATATCTTGTTAATGTTTGATGTACACTTTCATTAGCTTGTTTTTGGAGGATTCCTTTCCTCAACGAGAGTTGGGTGATGAATCCAAGCCACCCCTTGCATAGACCCGATTTCTTCCTACGAAATTAGGGGAAACTAGGGGTTTAGATGCTTTGTGTGCTTAATGGACTTGGAATTGATTCACCACGAAAGTGGGGCAATTCCTTGTTCTAATCCTTGTTTATTAATCACGAGAATGGCTCATAGACTTGGATACCTACGTGCATTCCCGCTTGATTCCTTGGTTACTTGTTCTCCCTAATCCCTTAGGTTGTTAAAGCATCTAGATGATAATGCTCCCTAGCTTGAGTCCTATTTCTTTGTTTCGTGTTTACATCTTGTTAATATGTGTTTGTGTTACTTTGTTTAGCTACCATTTCCTTAAACTTGTAGTTTGCTTAGCTTCTTGTTGATTTCCTTATGCTAGTGCCTAGTTTATTTAGATTGCATATTGTCTGCCATATCCCCCAATCCCCTGAGGACGACATTTCACACCCGTACACTCACCATCACTCATTTTTGCTACATCATCGGGCAGCCACTCTCCTCTGAATGATGGTCCGCGGTTGCTCACCGGTTGACTGGGCAGGCGGTTGCTGTTCGCCCCGTCCACCGAGGCGCTCCATGACCAACTGCATCGGGGCTACGGGTTCGAGCCTAGAGTGCGCTGAGCTGACCAGCCAGCGGGTTAATCCCCGAGTGTTCCGAATGCCTGGATACTCCACACTGGGCCTCCGGAGGAACCGATCGCGCGGGCCTCTGGATCTCGCCCGGGAGCTCCGGTCCTCGCCCCCGCACGTATGCTTCAAAGGCTTGCGCCAACAACTCCGCGAAGTTGGCATGGGCCTGAGCGATAGGTGCTGGTGGGTTCCCTCTCGATGGCTCAGGGGTCGGTGCGACAGTACGCGCAGTATGTGCAGCCGATTGTGTAACACCCCACTTTTTCTAAAACTTAATTACAATTCTAAACCATAAATAACATAACTAAACAGCGGATAAATAACTTATTAAGAAAGCTAGTGGGAGTATCACCGCCATAATCACCATCCCATGGTGATCGCACAGGCTAAGGATAGAACTAGAAAATAAATAAATAACTAACAGTCCATGTAACACCCCGTGTTACGATCCCTAAAACCAATTAATCATTTAACCAATTACCCAAAAGAAAGAATTAAATCACAATAATTAATTAGGAAAGGCCCACCATAGTCCATGGGCCCTTATCCCTAAACCCAATCCTTATTCCCAAAAGGAATAGACTTAGCAAGCCTATAATATTAGTTCCTAATTAGGACTCCTAAATATATAAATAGGGGACTTAAGAGGCACCTAGAACCCCCACCACAATAATCTCTCACCACCCAAAGAGCTCCAAGAATCCCCTTAGAAGAAATCAAGAAAGCAAGAAAGCTTAAAGAAAGACCCTTCATAGCCAAGGAATTAATTAAGGCTAAGAGGTAACCCATGTCTCAACAAAACCTATTTTCATAGCTATGATTCCCCTCTTAGGATTTCCCCATATTATTGTGTATTGATGATTTGTGATAATATTATTATTGGGATGATTCCATGGGTGATCTTGATGATAATTATGATGTTCTTGATGATTATATGACGTTCTTGATAATGATATGGTGTTCTTGATGTTCTTAACGATTATATGAGGTTCTTGATAGTTATATGATATTCCCACCGAATCTTGATTTTGAAAGATGAATTGTGTTCTTGTTGATTTTAAAATAATTAGAACCCTAGGTTATGTCGTGGAATCCGTATGGTATTATTCTTGGTATATTGGGTGGGAATTCGCATGATTGGGTGTTGATTACGTTTAGAAAAGCATGATAGGTTATGTGTCGTATGTTTCTTGATTTTGATCCATTAATTGTCTACGTGTGCTATCAATTGCGTTTGAAATTGTCTAAGCATGGTTTCGGGTTCCACAAAGGTTCCCGAGGCATTTTTGGTGAAAAAGAGTCAGTGGGGGGTAGGTGGAGGTAGGGGACCCGCCACCTACCCGCGGCCTAGTCGGGCAACGCCGGCAGCGGGCAGCTGCCCGCCAGGCACCCGCTGCCCGGAATAGTAAAACGCCGGCGGGCAGCCGGCGGGTGACCCCTCACCCACCGGCTACCCGCTGGTTTGTACCCCACTTCGGGATCCCGGCATCCCCGTTTGATGTTCCCCCGACCCTCGTGGTGTCCCAACGGACTCCGTCTATCGTGCCTATGTCTAGTTTGATTTCTGGGTACCGTTCGTAGGTCGTATGAGTCTTATATATTGCATGCAAGTTGAATTGGTATCCCGTTGACCTAGGTGAAAGAAGTACGAACCCCTTAGGAATATTCTTAGTATGTGAAGGATCACACATAGATTTTGTTATACGTTTTCTCCCCCTTCCCAACGTGTTAATGTGGGTTGCATGTGCTTGCTATGTGTTATGTGTGCATGTTACCCCGATTTGGTAGAGATCAATCGGGCTATACGGGCAGTCGGATGGGCTGAGAACCATACCGGCTGTTAACTAGGCTGGTAGAGACCGGTCAGGTATATAAATATTATAGGACTGAGGTCCACTATACGGGCAGTTGAATGGGTTGAGAACCATCCCAACTATTAACCAGGCTGGTAGAGACCAGTCAGGTATATAAATATTATATAGGACAAAGGTCCACTATACGGGCAGTTGAATGGGTTGAGAACCATCCCAACTGTTAACCAGGCTGGTAAAGACCGGTCAGGTATATAAATATTATATAGAGTTGCGGCTCATCGGTCGGTTGCGATCGACCCCTCCGTATTGTGAGACGGGGCAGGGTGCTGCGGGGCCGTGTCAGAGCTATATGCGCTGACCTTCATGTATGGGCATGCGATTGGTCTTGTGGTGCCAACAAAGTGTGCTATATGATGAGATAAGAAGAATTGATATTGTGACTGTTATGGAAAATGTGACCATAGGATTCTTGCTAGTAAACTATACATGTTTAATTGTGTTTATCTATAACTGTGCCCTATGTCGAGAATCGTATATACTTGGTTATGATTGTAGATTGTGTGTATCCCTATTTGTCGAGTCGGTTCCCTGATTTGAAAGCTAGAGTCTCTTAGGATAAATCTTCATGCTTCGAAATGACTTTTCGTATATATATATATATATATATATATATATATATATATATATATATATATATATATATATATATATATATATATATATATATATATATATATATATATATGTATTGTATTTCAACGCGTTGGAGTGGGTTACCAGCATCTCTCGCTGAACAGATATATTTGGCTTTCAGGCACAGAAGAATAAGTCACTGGAGCGCGCTAGATCTTGGAACGTAGAAGTAGATAGTTCCCTTTCGGCCTACGTGCCATGATATGCATTTACTTTGTTAAGGATATTAGTTAGTTGGCCTGTGCACGTGAGTTCTTTAGCTCAGGTGTGTCATAGCACCCCGTACTCTTTATGTTACGTTTTGAATTAATAAGATTTCACCTTTATTTTATAAGTTTTAAACGTCCTGAAAATCTGGGGTGTTACAGTCCATCAAACTTAATTTAATCATAAGGGGAATAAACACACCCCGATGTCTACATCATCAAAACACTTCCAAACATCATGAGTCTAAAATCCGGTAGATAAAAACATAAGCAAAACATAAAGGGTTTAGACTTCTAAACTAATAGACTAGTCTAACTCGATCACTTCGCAAGTTCGCCCCACCTGAAAGGGGTTTTACAAGCAACACATAGACAAATAGGAAAACACCCATTAGCACGAAGCTAAGTATAACTACACTCAACCCTGTAAAGTACTATAGAATATACTTTGGAAAACATTTGATAACATTCATAAACAACAATCTCATCTCATAGGCAACTATAATCACACCACATTCTTTCTATATACTTGCAACCTATAAAATCAACTGCCATGCTTCAAAACAAAAGACTTAACAACATAGATATCTCAACATGTAAACATTACAACAAACTTATCAAGCAACTCATGCTTACAAGTAATTTCATGCTAATAAACCATACGAAAGTTATCTTTATGCTCTCAAGTTCTCTTCATGTAAACTGGATATACAAGAATTCAAAATGTAACAAAACAATCATGCTCGAAATACAAACTTGAATCATCATTCTCATTATGCAAGCTCATGCAATACCCTACTCAAAGGCAATCTCGTGCAATACTGTAAATATACTCATATGCAATCTCATGCAATACTATACTCATATGCAATCTCGTGCAATACTATAGATATACTCATATGCAACCTCGTGCAATACTATACTCATATGCAATCTCGTGCAATACTATACTCATATGCAATCTCGTGCAATACTATAAATATACCCATACACTCATTTGTAAAATAGAATACTTTATGTGGAGGTCTCATTGAGTCATAAATGACTTGCTTTCTTAATTTCTTTTGTTAGAGTCGTAATGACTCATTTCTTTCTTTCTTAGAGTCGCAATGACTCACTTCTTTCTTTCTTAGAGTCGCAATGACTCATTCTTTCTCTTTAAATGGACGAGGTAGGAATTTCACCATAGCGTGAGTGAACCTATCCGGGCACGGCGTCTAGCCGACCTAATACTCTGCTCGTCCATCAAACCACTCTCTTGGTTATATGCTCAAACTCTGTGGAATCAGGTATCGAACTATTAGCGTGCACACCCCCTGACCATGATTCCAAGCCTGGCAGGCAGTTTCCAACCTCGTAACGTGGGAATACACCGTGTTACATATACTGGGACCGCAATTTCCATAAAATCATCCGAGAGTACATAGTCCAAACGGGGTCCTCCAAAACCTCACCGATATAGATAATACATAAATATATCTCTCATGCATCAATCTTATGCATGCAACAACTCAACAACTTCTCAATGCATCAAATAATGATATACTACATGCTTATGGATTTTTGAAAGTAATACTTGGGCTCACGTTGGCTCCTTATGCATTTTTGAAATATGATATATGTGAGATGCAAAATACTCTACAACATGCTCCAAAACCATGTACATAATCCATAAAATTCTCAAGGATACAATATCTTACTCGGTTTGCAACATAGCAAATTCTATATATTTCTATCAACAAAATATGCTTCAAATCTCATTGATCAAATATCACATTCTAGTCATGCATTCATAATAAATCATATTTTCAAAGTGATCATGCTTCTCTACTCAATACAAATATAACATCAGATAACAAAGCAAAACATTTCTCTTTCATAGTGAACTTCAAATACACATACTGTGTAGCAAAACAATTACTAAATCCATCATAACATGCTCATTTTTAATCCAAAATCAACGAAGTCAAAGCCAAAACGTGCGTCGAGACGACCCCGAGGTACCGAGCCACAAGGGCCCGTGACACCTTGTAACACCCCAGATTTTCAAGATACTTAAAACTTATAAAATAAAGGTGAAATCCCATTAAATCCCAAAACATAATACAAGAGTGCGGGGTGCTATGCCACACCTGAGCTAGAGAACTCAGGTGCACAGGCTAACTATCTAATATCCTTAGTAATGTAAATGCATAAACATGGCACGCAGGCCGGAAGGGAAACTATCTACTTCTACGCTCCAAGTTCTAGCGCGCTCCAGTGACTTATTCTTCTGTGCCTGAAAGCCAAATATATCTGTTCAGCGAGAGATGCTGGTAACCCACTCCAACGCGTTGAAATACAATACATATAGAGATATATATATATAGATATACGAAAACCATTTTGAAGCATGAAGATATATCCTACGAGACTCTAGCTTTTAAGACCGGGAATGACTCGACAGATAAGGCTAGACACAAGCAACAGTTATAATCAAGCGTATACAATCCACAACAGGCAAGACAGATAAACCTGATCACGAATAATAATCATAACCCATCATACACAATCCCTGGCATAAATCCCATAGTCAAATCCCCCAATATACTCATAAACACAACTCATCCATATCTCATCAAATAGCACACTTTGTTGGCGCCACAGGACCAATCGCATGCCCATACATGAGGGTCAGCGCATATAGCTCTGACACGACCCCGCAGCACCCTGCCCCGTCTCACATTACGGAGGAGCCGATCGCAACCAGCTGATGGACCTTTGTCCTACATAATATTTATATACCTGACCGGTCTTTACCAGCCTGGTTAACAGTTGAGATGGTTCTCAGCCCATTCAACTGCCCATATAGTGGACCTTTGTCCTATATAATATTTATATACCTGACCGGTCTCTACCAGCCTGGTTAACAGCCGGTATGGTTCTCAGCCCATCCGACTGCCCGTATAGTGGAACTTAGTCCTATATAATATTTATATACCTGACCGGTCTCTACCAGCCTGGTTAACAGCCGGTATGGTTCTCAGCCCACCCGACTGCCCGTATAGCCCGATTGATCTTAACCAACTCGGGGTTACATGCACACATAACACATAGCAAGTACATGCAGCCCACATTAACACATTGGGAAGGGGGAGAAAACGTATAACAAAACCTATGCGTGATCCATCACATACTAAGAATAGTCCTAAGGGGTTCATACTTCTTCCACCTAGGTCAACGGGATACCAATTCAACTAGCATGCAATATAATAGACTCATAAACCTACGAACGGTACCCGAAATATCAAACTAGTCATAGGCACGATAAACGGAGTCCGTTGGGACACCACGGGGGACGGGGAAACATCAAACGGGGAAGCCGGGAACCCAAGATGGGGAAAATTCCAGCGGGTAGCCGGTGGGTGGGGGGCCACCCGCCGGTTTCCCGCCGGATTCACTATTCCGGGCAGCGGGTCGCCGGCGGGCAGCTGCCCGCCCGCCGGCTGCCCGCTGCCGGGATCACCATTCCGGCCGTGGGTAGGTGGCGGGTCCCCTACCCCCCACTGACTCTTATCACACAATTTCGCCCCGGGAACCATTGTGGAACCCGAAACCATGCTTAGACACTTTACAACGCAATCAACGACAACACGTAGACAATTAACGGATCAAATACGAGAAACGAACGACACATAACCTATCATGCTTTTCTAACCATAATCAACACCCAAACATGCGATTACCCCACCCGATAATCCAAGAATAATATCATACGATACAACCTAGGGTTCTAATCACTTTTATATCAACAAGAATACGATTCGCCTTCTAATTGCAAGATTCGGTAAGAATAACACATAAGCATCAAGGGCATCACACAATTATCAAGAACAACACATAATCATCAAGAACTCCATATAATCATCAAGAACATCATAATTATCAAGAATCTCCCAATATCAAGATTATCAAGATCCCCCATGGGATCATCACATCAATCATCAATCATAATCATCACAAGTCATTGATACACAATAATATGGGGAAACCCTAAGGGGGAATCATAACTATGAAAATAGGTTTTGTTGAGACATGGGTTACCTCTTAGCCTTAATTAATTCCTTGGCTATGAAGGGTCTTTTTTAAGCTTTCTTGCTTTCTTGATTTCTTCTAGGGGGATTCTTGGAGCTCTTCGGGGAGGTGGGGCGTTATTCTTGTGGGGGTTTCTAGGTGCCTCTTAAGTCCCCTATTTATATATTTAGGTGTCCTAGTTAGGAACTAATATTATGGGCTTGCTAGTTCTATTTCTTTTGGGACTAAGGATTGGGTTTAGGGGTAAGGGCCCGTGGACTATGGTGGGCCTTCCTAATTAATTACTGTGATTTAATTCTTTCTTTTGGGTAATTGATTAAATGATTTAATTGATCTTAGGGGTCGTAACACGGGGTGTTACACTCTCCCCCCCTTATCGGGAAGCTTCGTCCCCGAAGCTTGGTCCTTGCCGTGTGACTTTTTCTTAGTTACCTGGTGTGAAAAGTTCGGGGTAGCGTTCCCTCATTGTGTCTTTGAGCTCCCACGTTGCTTCCTTGGTCCCATGGTTGGTCCAGAGGACTTTCACCATTTCTATGGCTCGACGACGATTGTTTCTTGTCTTGGTGTCCAGGATCCTCACGGGTCTTTCTTCGTATACTAGTGACTCGTCGAGGTTCACGACCTCGGGTTGAAGCACGTGACTCGGGTCGTGTACGTATTTCTTTAGTTGGGATATGTGGAATACGTTGTGTACTCGTTCTAGTTCGACGGGTAGGGCGAGGCGAAAGGCTAGGTTCCCAACTTTTTCTATGATCTCATAGGGGCCGATAAATCGAGGGCTGAGCTTTCCTTTCTTTCCGAATCTCATTACCCCTCGTGTGGGCGAGATTCTTAACCAGACTTTGTCCCCAGTGTTGAATTCGGCTTGTTTCCTTTTTAGGTCGGCATAGGACTTTTGGCGGTCCTGGGCAGCTTTCATCCTTTCCCGGATGTGTTTGACCTTGGTGATTGTGTCCTGTAGGTGTTGGGGCCCTAGTGGTATTGGGTCGACCATGTCTTCCCAACATAAGGGGGTTCTGCACTTTTGTCCGTATAGAGCTTCGTAGGGCGCCATGCGAATGCTCGCATGGTAGCTGTTGTTGTACGAGAATTCAATGAGGTCTAGGTGTTCCTCCCATGTCCCTTGAAAGTCCAACACGCAGGCTCTTAGCATGTCTTCGAGGGTCTGAATGGTCCTCTCGGTTTGGCCGTCCGTGGTGGGGTGGAAAGCAGTGCTTAGTTTTAGTTGTGTACCCAAGGCCATTTGCAGTGATTTCCAAAATTGCGAGAGGAACCTGGAGTCCCTATCGGATACGATGTTTCGGGGGACTCCGTGATACTTCACTACTCGGCTCAAGTAAGCTTGGGCCAGTTGTGTCATTGTCCACGTTTCCTTCATGGTGATGAATCGTGCTGTTTTGGTTAGTCGGTCCACTATGACCCAAATCTTATCTTTGCCGGTCTTTGTTGGGGGTAGTCCCCCGACGAAATCCATGGATATGGAATCCCACTTTCCTTGTGGTATCTCAAGGGGTTGTACGAGTCCCTTGGGCTTGCATCGTTCGGCCTTCACCCTTTGGCAATTCAGACACCTGGCCACGAAATCCGCGATTTCCTTTTTCATGTTGGGCCACCAAAACGACCTTTTTACATCTTGGTATAGTTTGTCACCCCCTGGGTGAATCGAGTATGGGGTGTTGTGTCCTTCCTCCAGGATTTGTTGCTTCAAGTGGGGGTGCGTCGAGGGCACGCACCACCTACCTTGGTAACGGAGACTGCCGTCTTCGTGTATTTTGAAGGGTCCTTCCTTCCCCTGGGTTAGGTCGAGGCAGATTTTATCTAGTTCCGGATCCTGCTGTTACCCTATCTTGATTTCTTCGAAGAGCGTAGGCACGACTCGTGTGTTGAATATGTGGGTGCCGGGGTGGTTTTGACCTTGTTTTATTATTTCCAAATTCAGTCTTTGGAAATCCCTGTACAGTTGGTCCGGTAGGACCCAAGTGGTGTTGAGGGAGTGGTTAGTCTTCCTGCTTAGTGCATCTGCCACCATGTTAGCTTTTCCCTCGTGGTATTGGATGTCCAGGTCGTAATCCTTTATGAGTTCTAACCACCTCCGTTGTCTCATGTTTAGGTCTTTTTGGGTGAAGATGTACTTTAGGCTCTTATGGTCTGTGTAAATCTTGCATTGCACCCCGTACAAGTAATGCCTCCAAATTTTTAGTGCGAACACGATGGCGGCTAGCTCGAGGTCGTGGGTGGGGTAGTTTTCCTCATGGGTTTTGAGCTGCCTGGATGCGTAGGCTATTACTCGGCCTTTTTGCATTAGCACGCACCCCAACCCCTTCTTGGATGCGTCACTGAAGACCTCGAATCCTTCCTCCCCGGAGGGGATGGCGAGTACGGGTGCCGTGGTTAACTTATCCTTCAATTCTTGAAAGGCCGTGACGTAGTCGTTGTCCCATTGGAAGGGGGTTTCCTTTTTCATGAGTTTGTTGAGGGGTTGGGCTATCCTGGTGAAGTCGGGTACAAATCTCCTGTAGTAGCCCGCCAAGCCTAGGAAGCTTCGGACTTCGGTGAGTGAGCTTGGTGTGGTCCATTCTTTAACGACACGGATCTTGGCGGGGTCCACCTTAATCCCTTCCTTGGTTATCACGTGACCTAGGAAGGCCACGTTGTCCTTCCAAAATTCGCATTTAGAGAACTTGGCGTATAGTTGATGCTCTCTTAGGGTTTGCAGGGTTATGCGGAGGTGTCTTTCGTGTTCTTCCTTGTTTCGGGAGTAGACTAGGATGTCATCAATGAATACAATGACGAAGTCATCCAAGTGGGGTCGGAACACTCAGTTCATGAGGTCCATGAATATGGCAGGCGCGTTGGTGAGTCCGAAGGGCATTACGGTGAATTCATAGTGACCGTAACGTGTCCGGAAGGCTGTTTTCTGAATGTCCGGTTTGGCCACCTGTATTTGGTGATACCCGGATCTTAGATCAATTTTTGAGAATACCCCTGCCCCTTTAAGTTGGTCGAACAAGTCGTCGATTCGGGGAAGGGGGTACTTATTCTTTATCGTGACTTGGTTAAGTTCCCTGTAGTCGATGCATAGGCGCATGCTCCCGTCCTTCTTTTTAACAAACAACACTGGCGCTCCCCATGGGGAGGTGCTAGGACGGATGTAGTCCTTGTCTAGCAATTCTTGCAGTTGCGTTTTTAGTTCCTTCATTTCTTTTGGTGCTAATCGGTAGGGAGGTTTAGAAATTGGGGCAGCGCCCGGTACGAGATCTATGGTGAACTCGACTTCTCTGACTGGGGGTGCCCCGGGGATTTCGTCCGGGAAGACGTCGGTGAATTCGCTTACCACTAGGATGGTTTGTGGTTCGGGGGTTTTGGTGCTGAGGTCCTCGACCGAACATAGGAAGGCCTCGCCTCCCTTGTTTAGATATCTCTTCATTTTCATCATGTTCACCACTTTGATCCCGGCTTCCTGGTGGGTTCCATGGTAAGATACCCTCTTACCGTTTGTTCCTCGTAGGACCACTTTTTGTTCTCCGCATAGGATTTGTGCTTGGTATTTTCCTAGCCAATCCATGCCCAAAATCACTTGTACCCCATCCAGTTTGAATCGGATTAAGTTGCTGGGAAATTCCATCCCTTGTATGGTGATCATTGTATCCTTGTACATGCGGTCGCATTCTAGGATTTCGCCAGAGGCCACTTTGACTTGGAGTCGGACCTTGGTGCTGGTATTGAGGCCGAGCCGAGTGGCAAACTCGGTTGCTATAAATGAGTTGGTAGCCCCTGAGTCAAATAACACTGTGGCGGGGGTGGCGTGTACTAGGAAGGTTCCGGAGACTATGTTGCTATCCCCAATTTTGGCTTTGCTTAGAGTGAGGATTCTTCCTTGAGCGGTTGGCGTTGTGACTAAGTGGGGTGAGGCGGCCCTGGGGCTTTTAAGGCTGCGGGTGGGGTTCATGTGATTTCCTTCTGATTTCCTTTTGTTTCCCAGGCGTGTTTCCCGGGGTTGGTTTGGCACTTGTTGTAGCTGGGATGCCTTGGCATAGGCTTCCCTGAGGGTTCCTGGCTCTTGTGTGGCTAAGGCTTTTTGATATTCGGGGTCAAGGCCCGTTATGAACCTTTCGGTCTTGACCCTCTCGGTGGGTACTAGCTCGGGGATGAGGCGAGCCAGTCGGTGGAATTGTTGGTAGTATTCCGTGACCGAGGTTGCACCTTGTTTTAGGTGGAGGAATTCTTCGTATATGGTGGCTCTTAGGTGGCTGGGATAGAATTGTTCTCGTAGCCGCGTTTTTAGGGTTTCCCAGCTGAATCCGGGGTCTTGTTCAAGGGTGGGTCCTTCGTGAGCCCACCAGGTGTCGGCCTCGTGTCTGAAGTAGAAGGAGGCCATTCTTACTTGGTGGCCCTCGGGGCATTTAGTTGCCCTGAATATCTTGTCGAAAGTCCCGATCCACTCCTCGAGGGTCGTGCGGTCTTCGTTTCCTGAGAGGGTGGGTGGTTGGTGTGACGAGACTTGGTGTTGGATTTCCATGTTCTCGTTCAGTAAAGGCTGGGGTACGGTAGTACTTAGTGCCTGGGCAATTTGGGCCAGGCGTTGCAGATTCTGAATCAGGAATTCCTCCGTGGGGAGTTTTGGCGTTCCTACCTGTCTTCTCCTCGGTGCCATCCTGGAGTTCATAGGTCGATGTTATTTTGTGTTCTTACCGTGATGCAATAAGTGAAGGGGAGAGTTCCTTTAAGTTAGAGAGGGATAAAGTAAGGAGGGGGGTTATGTGTAGGTTTCACAATCTCACCGCGCGTCCTAAGATTCCTGAATCCTATGTTTCATAATACCTAGAGTTCAAGCTTAATGTCCTAAAGTCCGGTCTTAAGAGTCTTATCCTAGGGTCAAACTTAGGCTCTGATACCAACTGTAACACCCCAGATTTTCAAGATACTTAAAACTTATAAAATAAAGGTGAAATCCCATTAAATCCCAAAACATAATACAAGAGTGCGGGGTGCTATGCCACACCTGAGCTAGAGAACTCAGGTGCACAGGCTAACTATCTAATATCCTTAGTAATGTAAATGCATAAACATGGCACGCAGGCCGGAAGGGAAACTATCTACTTCTACGCTCCAAGTTCTAGCGCGCTCCAGTGACTTATTCTTCTGTGCCTGAAAGCCAAATATATCTGTTCAGCGAGAGATGCTGGTAACCCACTCCAACGCGTTGAAATACAATACATATAGAGATATATATATATATAGATATATGAAAATCATTTTGAAGCATGAAGATATATCCTACGAGACTCTAGCTTTTAAGACCGGGAATGACTCGACAGATAAGGCTAGACACAAGCAAAAGTTATAATCAAGTGTATACAATCCACAACAGGCAAGACAGATAAACCTGATCACGAATAATAATCATAACCCATCATACACAATCCCTGGGATAAATCCCATAGTCAAATCCCCCAATATACTCATAAACACAACTCATCTATATCTCATCAAATAGCACACTTTGTTGGCGCCACAGGACCAATCGCATGCCCATACATGAGGGTCAGTGCATATAGCTCTGACACGGCCCCGCAGCACCCTGCCCCGTCTCACATTACGGAGGAGCCGATCGCAACCGGCTGATGGACCTTTGTCCTACATAATATTTATATACCTAACCGGTCTTTACCAGCCTGGTTAACAGTTGAGATGGTTCTCAGCCCATTCAACTGCCCGTATAGTGGACCTTTGTCCTATATAATATTTATATACCTGACCGGTCTTTACCAGCCTGGTTAACAGCCGGTATGGTTCTCAGCCCATCCGACTGCCCGTATAGTGGAACTTAGTCCTATATAATATTTATATACCTGACCGGTCTCTACCAGCCTGGTTAACAGCCGGTATGGTTCTCAACCCACCCGAATGCCCGTATAGCCCGATTGATCTTAACCAACTCGGGGTTACATGCACACATAACACATAGCAAGTACATGCAGCCCACATTAACACATTGGGAAGGGGGAGAAAACGTATAACAAAACCTATGCGTGATCCATCACATACTAAGAATAGTCCTAAGGGGTTCATACTTCTTCCACCTAGGTCAACGGGATACCAATTCAACTAGCATGCAATATAATAGACTCATAAACCTACGAACGGTACCCGAAATATCAAACTAGTCATAGGCACGATAAACGGAGTCCGTTGGGACACCACGGGGGACGGGGAAACATCAAACGGGAAAGCCGGGAACCCAAGATGGGGAAAATTCCAGCGGGTAGCCGGTGGGTGGGGGCCACCCGCCGGCTGCCCGCCGGATTCACTATTCCGGGCAGCGGGTCGCCGGCGGGCAGCTGCCCGCCCACCGGCTGCCCGCTGCCGGGATCACCATTCCGGCCGTGGGTAGGTGGCGGGTCCCCTACCCCCAACCTACCCCCCCACTGACTCTTATCACACAATTTCGCCCCGAGAACCATTGTGGAACCCAAAATCATGCTTAGACACTTTACAACGCAATCAACGACAACACGTAGACAATTAACGGATCAAATACGAGAAACGAACGGCACATAACCTATCATGCTTTTCTAACCATAATCAACATCCAAACATGCGATTACCCCACCCGATAATCCAAGAATAATATCATACGATACAACCTAGGGTTCTAATCACTTTTATATCAACAAGAATACGATTCGCCTTCTAATTGCAAGATTCGGTAAGAATAACACATAAGCATCAAGGGCATCACACAATTATCAAGAACAACACATAATCATCAAGAACTCCATATAATCATCAAGAACATCATAATTATCAAGAATCTCCCAATATCAAGATTATCAAGATCCCCCATGGGATCATCACATCAATCATCAATCATAATCATCACAAGTCATTGATACACAATAATATGGGGAAACCCTAAGGGGGAATCATAACTATGAAAATAGGTTTTGTTGAGACATGGGTTACCTCTTAGCCTTAATTAATTCCTTGGCTATGAAGGGTCTTTCTTTAAGCTTTCTTGCTTTCTTGATTTCTTCTAGGGGGATTCTTGGAGCTCTTCGGGGAGGTGGGGCGTTATTCTTGTGGGGGTTTCTAGGTGCCTCTTAAGTCCCCTATTTATATATTTAGGTGTCCTAGTTAGGAACTAATATTATGGGCTTGCTAGTTCTATTTCTTTTGGGACTAAGGATTGGGTTTAGGGGTAAGGGCCCGTGGACTATGGTGGGCCTTCCTAATTAATTACTGTGATTTAATTCTTTCTTTTGGGTAATTGATTAAATGATTTAATTGATCTTAGGGGTCGTAACACGGGGTGTTACACACCTGGCCTGAAACGACATGTAACTGAGCCACAAGGGCCCAGCCACTGCATAAAATCCTCTCAGATCAATACTCAGGGACCTAGGGCGGGAATCCTCATGAGCCGCCACATGTAGGCCGTTACATGGCCAGGCCTAGGCAACGGCCCTCTCCTAGGGCCGTGCCCTAGGCTCGGTTGGCCCGGGCTCTAGCCGACTGCCCTCCTGATGGGCCGCGGCTAGGGCCGCTGCTCTGGTCTGGTGCACACTGTGTGTGCACCAGATAGGTGTTTTCATATACAAAAATCATTCCAACCATGTCCAAAACATCCAAAACATTATCAACACTTCAAAGACAAATACTAGATCACTTCCAAGCTCAAACACAACAAAATTTCACAATTTCTACTCATTTCTACTCAATATAATAGGCTTCACAGAGCCAAAACCGGATAGGGAGTCCATGGGGTTATACCTTTGTAGATTCCTCTTTTTTTGTTGGGATTTCTCCTTCTTCCCAACTAGCTACACCCTCCTTCACCTCCTAGACAAGACAACCAACCAAAACAACAAGCCTTAAGAGCTAATTTCTTAGAGATGGAAGGTAGAAACCAAAGAAGCTAGGTGAAGAATGAAGAAATGGAACTTACTGAGTTTTCTTGCAAAGTTGGCTTGGGAAAGACAAGGAAGAGAATCAAAGACGCAAAGTCTGATAACATTCCATTTTATAGGGCTCTAAACCCTAGGAAAATCAACAATGTTTGGTGGAGGGCAAACGTGTAATTTTCATTGGCTAAGAGATGATGCAGGAAAGGGTTTTGGATGTCTAGTTGTCCACCATGGTCCATGGACCAAGGGCTAGAAATGCTATTTTAAATACTTTGGGGTTGAAAATGAATTTTTTCAAAAAGTTTTCTAGATGAACACTTGTTTAAAGTTTCTTTGAATTTTCCCGGTTTCACTCAGATTGGTTTCTCAATTTAAAACTTGGTACGCGAAGTACCCGAAGATTTAGGATTTTGGAATAAAATAAGTTTTGGTGTTGAATTAATTTAAAATGAGTCCAAAATAATTTATTCAAACACTAATTGATCGCAAAAAATTTTAATGGAGTGAAAATGGCTATTTTAGAATTTCTTAAAATTGGATTTATAAAATAAAATTTTGGGTTTTTACAAATTTTTCCCCAGTGGCGTGGTGATTTAGCTGCTCCCTCAGGTCACCAACGGATACGCGGCTATCTGCGGGCGGCTTTGGCGGGTTCGCGATAACTGTTACATGCTCATTAGCCGGCAGGGCAGCAGCATTGGGACTAGAGCTGTCAAAACGGGCTTAGCCCGCCGGGCTGGCCCGCCCCGCCCCTATTTAGGTAGGGGGCGGGTTTTGAAAATAGAGGCCCGTTTAGGAGCGGGCTTTTTTGGCCCGCCCCGTTTAGGCCCGCGGGCTACCCGCCATTATTTTATTTTATTTTAAATAAATTATTTTTATATAAAATATGCTCTTTAAAATTATTTTTATGTGTAATATTTTTGGACTTTGTAGTTGTGACTAGTTTGATGTTTGATAAACTATGAACTTTGAACTTAATGTAATATTTAATGTTTGATTATTATGTTTTATGTGAGTTATGACTTATTATCAATTTATTTTAATTAGTTAGTTGTTTGATAAACAATTTTTTTTTTTTAAAAAAAAAGGGTTTTGGCGGGGGCCCGCCTAGCCCGCAGGCCACTAGCGGGACGGTCCGGGCCTATAAAACCCAGGACCGTTTAGGAGCGGGCTTTTTTAGCCCGCCCCGTTTAGGCCCGTGGCCCGCCGGGCTTTGGCCCGCCCCGCCCCGCCAGCCCGTATTGACAGCACTAGTTGGGACCGGTGTTGCGATTGCTATGTCTGGTACGTGCCATCAGTAAAGCTTAGGAACGGGACCTTTAGTTTCGATCCCCAACAGACGGCGCCAATGTTGGTTTTCACAGCCTCGATGGCTATCCGGCAGGCCAACACTACCGGATATTTGTTACTTTTTGGAGGTGATGAAAACGAGGACCAAGATCTCAATGAGAGAGAGAATAATGGAGTCTTACTTCTCTAGGGTTTTTACCCTAAAAAATGCCGATCCCTTACATGATGATCCCATGGGAATATTTATACATAGATGTGGGGTTTTACATGGTGTGTAGGGCTAGCGTAAGGGCTGATGCAACCGTTGATTAACTTCCTTTTCCGTCTGAATTAACTAAGGAAACTGCTTAACAAGCAAAGATTGCTTCCGTAGAATCCGCTGATACGCGTCTCTGGGTGTGCATCCGGTCAGGAATGGTCCCAACTGCGCGGGGGAGCCTTCCTGGGTCCTTGCCCCCAGTCCATGACACCCTATCCGCAAAGCCTGGTCGCCCGGCTGGGTCCCGGAAAGGCACACGGTCGGGGACGCACCGCCCTTGTGGCCTGGCACCCAACCGAACCCTGTGGGGGTGTTTGGCCGGGGACACGCTGACCATAGTAGCTGGTCGCCCAATCGCATCACTTCTGAGAGCCCGCACGGGGACGCGCCGGCTGGCGGGCTGGCTGTTAGGAGGTGAGTCGATGTCACTATGGGGCGTCCTGTACCGTGTCCGGGAGGTCTCTGGGAATCTTCC